TCAGCCGTTGCATATTAACATATGCATGTAAGCATTTTTTATCCCACTCCCCCCCCAAATATTTATCCCTTATTTCCTTAAAAAGGATATCCCCTCTCTTAAATAAATAAATAATGATTATAAACTTGTTACAATCAAAAGAGAGAAACTAAGAATGTTTCACCAGCGCACGGGATCGAAAATAATAAGAATTCCATGGTAACATGATACATTCAAAACTGGAAATATTGAATAGAGCCTGGACTGAATAGAGGTTTCAACGAATCTAATCCAAAAAGCTTGTAAAAGCATAATACATCAAACAAACAATTTCAGAAAAAAATCCTAGAAACGAAGTTACAAACTCAAGTTTATTATTCAACATGTTTTGTCCGGTTTGTGTTATGACGACTTTTTTAAAAATAGTATCTGATTTTTATTACGTATTCGTAGGCGCGTATTTTGTTATGGTTTATTGCAATAACTTAATACAAGAGATATATTTCTCAACCTATGTTACACTTACTGGCTCACACTCTCTTAACTGCTCAATCAAGGACTCAATAAAATCGTTAAACATTCACAAAACTGCTAACACTTACTAATTCATGCATATTTACTCAACAACGAAAATCAGTTCAGTTAATTCATAAAAACCAACACTTAACTAAATCGTTTACACGTACATTCACGTTCACAAGACAAGCAAGCCTATTTTATAATAGGCCTAACCGTCCCTAATCACCCCAAAAATTCATTCACAAACCCTTACCTATTCTCTAACTCATACACTCACATTCACAAACCATGGTCTCCCAAACTAACCTACGCACACTTACACAATTGAACCAATTTCATTCCCAAGTACAAACATACACTTTACCTTTTAACTCGTACTCTCGCAATTAAAAAAAGTGGTTTCTCACTAATTCATGCACACTTTTTCAATAATTTTAATACATTCAATGTTACAAACAAACAATCACCATTCGTTAACTGATGCTCTCACGTAGATATTTTAACTCAGCCAAACGCGTAAAATCCATCCATTGATTCATGCGTTCAACCAATCATACACAAGCTCATTAAATCATTTGGTTGCCTATTCAATAAACCAACAGCACACTAGCAAACTCATCTCCTCCATAACTCATTTCATTACTCTACTCACAAGTTTCTCCGTAATCGCCAATCTCTCAAACTCACTAATACCAAACTCAAAGTGTAAAATAAGAATGGATATTTAACGTGTATTGTTAGTTAATTTCTCGTGGGAACCTTTTAAAAAACAAATAAATTAATGTGCTATTAATCCATATACATTTAGCTTATGTGCTTTGTTTCGCATTGACCTTATGCGATTGAAGGAATCACGTGCTTCCGAATCCGTCTCTCGTCTCGGATAGCGCCGGCCCATTTCTGAGATAATAAATCTAGAACTCGCTTCCTCCTTCCTGTGAGGAATGGGACAATAGGAGAGGCAGGGAGATCGATAAGGGGGAAAAAGTCAAGGACTGGCCGGAGAGGGAAAAGGGTGGACGTTTGCGTCCCCGGTCGGTTGTCTCAGGTGCCTTCTGGAATTCAAGGCACAATAATTTCCAGCTGGCCTTGCACGCGTCGATAACAGATGACGGAACGGGTGATATAATGGGAAATCGATTGGGTGACGGATGGGCGTACGGACCCAGAGCACTATGTACCCAATTACAGAGTGCGATAATCACAGTCGGACAAAAGAGGTCGCGTGTATTTATTAAAGTTAGCGTTCCAGATATGGTTTTTGCAAGATAGCAGGCTTAACGATTGTATCGTTCTGCAATGCGAGAATATTATTTTCACGAGATCGATTCGCGCCCGTTACATAAAGCAGAAACGGGTTTCCTCGCCCAGCGTTTCCAAGAATGACGAATCAGGGGAAAATCGCTTTGCTGTGGTTCGCATCATCAATTATTTCCACAAGCATTCCAGTTTTACTTGACGCCGCGTTTTTAATTAATGCACCGGTTTTATGGGAAACACTCGTCTTACCTTGAGGCGTTTTGTCTCCCTACTCATCTCACACCTTACCTGTTCCCCGTCACCCAAAACATCCTTCTTAGAAAGGTGAGACCTTTTGAAAATATACCCGACCGACAAAGCCCATTTCATTTGTAATAATTCTACACTTTTAAGACACTGAATGTTTCTAAAACAATTCAAACAAAAGGCTCGGGAAATGATAATATAACAATGAAGTGCTAAACAAGCCTCAATTGTTTTTAATTAGTTGTTTTATACAATTCATTTCCATTATAAAAGTTCAGACCTTACTTTCCACCAATGGTGAACACAGTCCTTCGCTTCTCTTCATTTTAACTGAAAAATCACTTCATATTCCAATTATGTATTTATCAAAGCTTGTTTGTAATTCTTGTAAATATCTCACGGTCTATCTCTTACGCTTTCGCACACTCTTTTTCTCTGACCCCCTCTTTTCTCTCTCTATCTCGTTTCCCTCTATTTCTGTATCTATCTCGTCTCTCTCTCTCTCCTCACTCTCTCTTTCTCCTCACTCTCTCTCTCCTCACTCTCTCTCTCTCCTCTCTCTCTCTCTCTCTCTCTCTCTCTCTCTCTCTCTCTCTCTTCTCTCTCTCTCTCTTCTCTCTCTCTCTCACTCTCTCTCTCGCCTCTCTATCTACCTAATAGAACGTTTATTTTTAATATTTTTTTTTTAATTAAAAAAATACTCCATTCCAAGCTAAACTATGCCATAAAATTACAAACTATAATAATCTACTTATCAAAATTAGCATGTCTATAAAAATTAAACGATTAATATTTGCATATTTACATTGTTCTTAAAGAAATCTAATTAAAATTAATGCGGTCGTTTTCTAATTGGGCCACTCCGTCTATTTTGAACTCGAAGACTTCCGGAACGTGAAAAAAAGCTGTTTCCCCCTGCCGAATGTTGTTTTTCCCGTTCAGCGATGCAGGCCGGGGCTGTTTATTGTTGTGTTTGTTTTGCGTTTAATTCCGTCGCCGATTATCAGAGCTGGGGCAGAATTTAGATAACAAAGGCCATTACTGTTCAAATTTTCCAGTCGGGCACGGGTTGTTTGCTTACTAGCCAAACATTTTCCCTTTTGTGTAGTCAAAAGCACCGCCCGCGCCGTCGACGTCGTCGCCGCATGATTCATTTTACATCTCATTATTGCCGAGATTTCCAACCGTAGCTCTGATAGGGAGAACCCAAGAGGGAGAAAAAAACTAAAAGAAAATTAAGCCGTGCCGAATTTAGCCCTAACGCGAACGAGGTCACAGGATTGATAAAAAGGTGGGTTTCCCAGTGATCACTTATTGTGTTGTTTTCCTTGACAGAATTCTCATCCAAGGATGTTTAAAGATACATACTTTTTTTTAAAATAAAGTAAATTGTTCTTTATCGATTTGAGTAATAGCATATTTTCTTCGTGCGCATAATCCTTTAATAGTTGTATAACTAATTTTAAATTTAAGGGAGTCTATGAGAAATAGCACCTTTCAAAATGTTCACTTATAAGCATCTGCTGATAAATCTTCTCAAATAAGTATGTTTGCAATAAGCGCTCGCATGCTTTGTTATACGAGGTTTGTTCCCAGCTTAAACATTTCTAGTAATGATTACTTGGATATCGTTAGATGCGGTCTGATGTGACGTAGGTTTTAGAAAACCATTTTCTTTATCGTGCCTACGTTTCGATCTTTATTGAGATCATCTACAGGGCCTGGGATTTATAAACATTGTTTAAACTTTACAAATACGTGTAGGATGTGGAAAATGAATTTCTCGCATTGTATACATTCATTTTTTCCACATCCTACACGTATTTGTAAAATTGGCACTGAAGATGATCTCAATAAAGATCGAAACGTTGGCACGATAAAGAAAATGTTTTTCTAAAAGCTACGTCACACCAGACAGCATCTCAAGACCTCCAAATAATCGTTGGCTAACGGTCACTAAACACCCCACATTTCTAGTGATTGTAATCGGAAACTAAAATATCAAGTCGTATATGGTCGAATGGTGTTGTCCTAGCATACAATTGATACATAATCAGAACAGAAGAAGCCCTTGAAAACAGGGTTTTCGCGCGGAATCTGTCTGGATAATGGTAATTGCCTGGCCTTGAGATCTTTCAAACTTTTGTGTTGTTTTGATTTTTAATTTTTTTTATTATTTATTTTATTTGCATGTTTATTATCCGTGTTGTAATGTACTTTTTTTTGTAAATCTCTATATTGTATAAAATCTAAATAAAGTATTTAAAAAAAAATTGTTTAGAGTAGTCTTATTGTATGAACACCTTGCTGGCGGATTTTTTCCCACGAAACAAATATAACTTGATTCTCTTTATACTCTATTTGTTCTTTATCTCTCTTTTATTGTTTCGCTCACCCAACTCTCACTTACGTGACTCTACCTTTCCCCTTTTCTTATAACCCTCACTCTCGCTTTTAATTATATTTCGAACATCTTACTCAATCCAGTTCTATCTCACCCCTTCTTGATCTCTTACTAGTTTAAATGCTAGGAATTGCCAACCTTCAGGCCAAATTTCAGGCTTTTGATTTAGTGTGACCTCTTTATGATGTTATGAGAGCATGCCAATTTAAAAGATAAAAATAGAGAACGTTATCAACAAAGAAATAAACATTTTCATCCCCTTCTATCTCTCTTTTTCCTTAGCTCTCAACTCTCACTTACATCACTCTACCCTTTTCTTTCTTCTGATTCTCTCTTTATTTCTTGTTTCTTTCTTTCTCTCTCTCTCTCTCTCTCTCTCTCTCTCTCTCTCTCTCTCTCTCTCTCTCTCTCTCTCTCTCTCTCTCTCGCGCGCGCGCACGCGCGGATACGGTCAAATTTGGTTGGAAAGATGAATAAAGTAGATTGTATCGTTCGGTTGTGTACCGCAGAAATTAAAAATTAGTACATTACAATAATATGATAGTTTAGTAATTTTGTTGTACGTGTATTGAATTTTTTTTTGTATTTTCAGCAGGTTTGGCGCGAGGGCGGTATGTCACAGCCGCCGCAGGGGTATCCCGGGGGTGGCCCACCGGGTATCCTAATCCCTCCGCCGCCGCTGTACTCCCCGCTGCCCCCAGAGCTGTGGGCCGTGAAAAGATACCCGTCGCTTCCGGCCACCTCGACGCACCTGGCACCGCCATCCGAAGACTCCGAGAGGGCGTACCACCAGCACGAGAGAGGCCGGCTAATGAGGTAAGAGGGGTTAAATAGGATAACAAGGGCTCGGAAGGAAAACCATTTTCTCCTACCGTTTCCTAGGAGGTCTTCGGTTGAAGGCCTTTTGCGTCAAGCCGTGTCCGTTGCATAACAAACCTTGAACGCCCGGTAGCAAGAATGGCTCTGGGACGAGTAGTCGTTTTTCGATAACCAGTCATACAATTTTCATCATTTTATTTCATGATATTTCCATTTTCAATCGGATCCTATCGAATTTTTCCTCTTCATCCTTCGCTTACCCTGTACAAAAGAGAACTAAACCCATAACGTAGATTTTTTGCCCTTTTTTCACACTTCTTCTTCAAACATTCTTGGGTAACTGCGAGTTCATCTTAAACATGATGCAGCGCATTTTTCATTGTTAGGTTATCATGACCCAGTTTTATCGCCGACCTCACAGATTTTCTGCTATCTCAAAACATGACCGATTCTGTTTTGGGAGTTGATTATCCCTTCGTTATTCAATAATATCGTTCTTTTTATTATCTTGTTGTGTTTTCCACGACGGGAATGAGATTTAGGATGACCCAACGCTATAAAAATGTCGAGTAATATTTCTGACTCACTTAAAGTAGAACAGGTCGATAAAGCTTTAATAAAAGCTGGCGTCGCATTCTTTTCTTTGATTATCTTTTTTATTTTTCTATATGGAATTCTCAAAATCATTAGTAGCAAATAGAATATCATTTTAAATATAAAACATATTACACTGCTATGCTTGTATTCTGTACAATTCATTCAAATATAAAACCACCGTGTGTCAAAATTTATTTGTATTAAAAACAAAAAAATACAAATGGTGTTTATCGTCAAGACCAAAGTTCAAAACAATAAAAAATTTAATTTTCGTTTTCAAATCGTTTCTCGTACGTCTACTCGAAAATACTATGCAAAAGAAACCCTGTTTAGATAACAAAATGAGAATTCCTGTATCTAGAACACTAAAAAAATAATCGTCACGAAAGATAATGTTGTTTACTAAAAGTATGAGTGATTAGAGAATCATTAAAATATCACAATAAAGCTAATGCTTATAGAAAAACGGCTGCTCTGAGATTTTCAATTTTTTAAAACCCTGCCACGTTTGCATATTTATTTAAAAAATAGCTTATTATTCTCGTTCAGGATTATAGGTTATGTTTTTGAAAAAGTAGAGTAATAAAATTAAAAATAACAATTTCAACATTGTACAATATTTGATTATTTATGCAGGTTTTAACGAATTAAACAATATATAAATTATAGTAATAAAACTTAGGGTTTAATGGTCTTTAGTCATAAATCCTTATTAAATTTATAAGGACACGATTATTGTTTTGTATTTTGGAATTGTTGATAGTGTAATAAACCGTTTATCATCGTGCTCTTGTATACAGTTAGAACAAAGAAAAAACGGAACATGACGTTTGATCGAACCATCATAAATTTCAAATGACTCTAGGAATCGTACTAGGACGAAGTTTTGAGTTTATTGACCTCACACAGATGTACATTCATGATTGTGGACAGAATAATAATACCATTAGTGATTATCTAGTTGTGTAATCAAAGAGAAAGAAATTGTTCGGATTAGGTTTGTTTTGCTATTTGGTCCTCTTTTTTTGTGGTGAAGGTTAGAGACGGGATGTTTTCTGTTTAAACTCATAACGAAACAATCCTGGCTATATTTCAGTGAAAGTGAAAGAGGTTGGTGGAGTTTATAGAATAAATGTAAAAACATTGTTCTAAATCTGAACCTGTTTGGCTTTGGATTTAAAATAGAATTCGTGATTTTTTGCATTTAAACCTTTCCTTTTTCAGACTTGTAACTACGATAATTTAGTGATTTGTTCATAACTCATTAACGAAAATTATATAAAATAATAGCTATCTAGTTAAGTCTCAACAGGTGTTCAGGGTTCATGGATTTCAACCCTTATAATGAAACTAGAAACCATGATGATGTGGACGATTCAAGCCACTTTATAAGCCTTTTTTAATGTAAGATCAATCGAAATTTCACAGGTTATGCCGGTATTCTAACCCAGAATCAATACCATGGCAAATACGAGCCGAAAGCCCTCGCGACTTGGCTATCGTTCATTATATTATTTTTATAATAACTGTATAAATTTGCGCTTGTATTTTTGAGTAATATTTTCTTTAGAAAACATGAAAGAAATGTTGTGTCACATATTTAATGGCCGACTGACCAGCGTAGTGTGTAACCGGAGTTGACCTCCTACAAGACAGAAGACTTTTTCCACTTAAGAATTTTCTATAATCACGCCAAAAAACAGAAGATAAATCTAGGTTGTCCTAGTTGAAAAATTAGCCCATTAATAAACAATACGACTTGATTTGGCATCGGTGTGAAAAGAGGCGTGATTATGTCAGGCTGCAGGAGATATTTTCAGCTCGTGTCGGCAACGGAATAGACGGCATTCGATCAAGTCCGGTCCGTCAAAACTTCCCCCTGCTTCCTTTTTCTCCCGGCTTTATCGGAATTGTTCAAAAGGCTCGGAATTCCATTGTCTCGCCGTTCGACCCAGTTTACGCAAGCCGCGGCGGGGCGTAAAAACCGATTCCGTCAATCCTCGAGGTCATTGACTACATTAAACGGCCTCCGATTCCGCCCACGACCGGAGAGGAAGTCTTTGGAAAGGCATAGAATTTCGCAACGATTCCGAAAAGGGGGAGGGAAGTAAAATTATCAAAAACCCTATTAACAAGTTATCATTCTGGCCCTTTTGTGCTCTTTAGTCAGAGGCGTTTTGCTATTATGTCATTTTCCACCCCACGATCAGACTTTTGAAATATACATTTTTTTCCCAATGGTCTAATTTTCAAATTGATTATAAAATTGAAAATTCTCGTTTTTATTTTGATGATTTTGCTTTCAAACAGTGCCAATGTTGTTGTTTTTGTCGTGAATAACCGATTGTTTGGCCTGACTCATTTGGTAAACAAAATGACCTCATTTAACATTTCTTTCCCCCTCTTTTTGTTTATTTATTTAGACGCCTGGAATTAGACATTTCCGACATTGGAAGCCCGATGAACAAGAATCCTATAGGTGAAAGGTGAAGGGAGTCAATAAGGATCGGAGAGAACGGACCGGTCCGCCGATATTATAAACGGACAAAAGTCGACATTTCAATGACTCAGGGAAAAAAGTGAAACCTGGTTTCGCCCTGGGGACATGGCCTCATTCGAGAAATCCTCATAAAATAAATTATTAGCCTTGGCCAAAATTGAACGGCCAACGTTCTCCCGGCTCGGTCCGTCGCGGAAGAAAGGCGGGTCGAGTTAATCTGAATTGTTCATTAAATTGATTGCCCACTGTGAAAGCTATTATAAAGAAATACTTCTTAGGGTTTTTTTAACGCAGCGATACACGCACAACTTAGGTTCCGTTTAGGAAGTATAGCTTGAAGTAGCTATAGAACTATTTTCTAATAAATATGGTGCTAAAAAATTACACTTTTTACAAAATATGAATGAAAATGTTATATATAAAAAACGATATGGTAACGTTATCAAACCCTGGTATTTATTGTGCCAAGTTATGCTGTTTTTTGTTATCATCGTGGTTCAGACAAAATCTCTTCTTTTTTAATCTTTCCCGACTGTATGTAGACAAAAGTTAAAATTATGTCGTTAATAAAGTAAATTTATTTTGTTTTAAGCAGCGATAGCTGGCTTTGGTTTGAATCCTTGATTGATTACTGGTCAAAAAATGCTGCTAAATAAGCCAAGTTATATCAGAGTTCTGTAAAAATTCTGAACTTCGTCCAATTAGTTCCAACTGGCTTGAGTTCCCTACAGTCATAAAAAACCGAATGTTAAAACATTAAATAGCCGTAATAAAAACAGAGGCAAATCATTATTTTCACTGTTTTTCCATTTAACCACAACTGTAGATAGTTCAAGGATATCCAGACTTGTTTGTTTTAAGAAAGCTGTAAGCTTGGGTGCGATAAAATCGCCTGTAAATAAATTTTAAATAAACGTAGTAAAAAATTCCATATTTGTTTAGTGGTCATAATTGACGATATTAATTTTTCCAATTAATTACTTTTTATTTTTCTTCTCAACGAAAAACCTTAGATAAAAATAATAATTAATTGGAGAAGTAAAAGAGAGAAGTAAATACTATTGTTTCCTCGTTAATTTAGACAAAAGTCGATGACATGGAGAGAAGTTCAAGGATATGAGGATTTCTTTTATTTTATCCAACAATTAACGGTGTTGGGGTCCTTCTAACGGAATAAAATCGTTTAAATTTAATTTTAATTGTAAATAATTTTAAAAATAGGCAAAAATGTCCATTTTGTTTTTTCAGCAGTTCTAGAAAGAAGTTAGTTCAAGTATATGAGGATTTTTTAAAAGTTAAAGCGATAAACGGCTTTACTTCAATCTTATGGGAGAAATGTAATTAATTAAATTAATCCAAATTCTCTTTAATTACATTTACAAAATCTAAATCTAAAGCCAAAAATAAAGTAGATATTGTTCCTTTGATAATAAATGACTGAAGTGAATTAGGTAAGTACATACGTTTGAAACATCAACGAAAATGTTTTAAAACGAAGCTGTCGTTATCATAGGTCAGTAAAGAGTTAGTGATTACGGTCGGTTCAAGGACGGGTTTTGAACAGAAAAAATATTTCACAGCACTTCTGTAGGAAAATTGTGTAAAAATTAATTGATTGATTGATTTTTTATATCATTGGTCAGGCAGTTTTGAAAATTAGTTTACGAATTTTTGTTCACAAAGCCACTCGTTTTATTTGTAGAGGAAGTTGAAGAAAATATTCTACGCAGTTTTTTGATACGTCCGCGAAAACATTTTAAAAAGAAGGAGATGTTGGTGTTATCGTAGGTCAGTAAAAACGAACGCTGGAGTCTACACATTCCAACGATGATTATCAGTTTTAAAGGTATTTTCGGTACATTTTTTTTGTAAATTTTCATTTTGAAAACTGTTTTTTCTC